TTAAAAATTATTTCTTTAAGGATTCTCTCAAAGATGCACAGGCCATGCTGTCCAAACAATGCCCTTGCTCACCACAGCAGACTTTTCATTGCCAAACCCATGGGCACACATCCTTAGTTTACAGGAACTTTCCTTAGAAGTTATTAGCTTCTACAAAAATTAGCACTACAATACTTTTAATTATAAATTGCTGAATACTGACACATTTATGCTTAAATTTGATTCAAAATTTACATCTGTTCCAATGACATAGGTATATGCTGTACCAAAAACATAATTTACTTTTAGTCTCTCCGATACCCCTTGTTTCCTAGTTCTCTTACTCATCTTTAGTCAGAGATCTTTGAGAATTTATTTATCTCTATGACCAGTATGTGTGCTCCAGCAGGGCTGTATGTTGTAATGACGGTGATAATAGTATGGTTTTCAAATGCTGACATTTAAAGCGGCCCACATAAACATCATAAAATGAGACCTGATAGAATCTTTTCCTAGCATTTACCTGGTTTCATCAGGATGATGGGCCAAGAGCAGTGCCAGACTTAACTTGAGCCTTTTATACAGCTACACTTGCCTAATATGTAGTTGGGTAAATAGTTCAGCATCTTCCCCAAGTAAACCGGCCAAATTAAAGTGACATTAAAAAATCAGATATTATTTACCCCAAGCTTTTCTCAGCTTTGTACACTGAGTATCTTACTAGTGTAGACAGATAAATATATAACCCTTTTACAGTATTATTAAGAGCATCACGAAAAGCAGTCTTTGTGTTGATAAATCAGAGGGTTAATATCAAACCCACTATTCTAAGAGTTACGCTTAGCCACAAAACACCATGATGTATCTTTCATGGACAATAAAAATAAATTACTACCATGCATTTCTCATGAATAAACAAAATGTGGAATGTTCACTGGCTGAAGCTACAGAAGATTAACTGTTTTATTTGTAAGAACAACTCTTAATAACAAGGATATGAGAGATGTTAAGCCTTGGAAATTTGTCTTCCTGCATTTAGTGCAACAAGTCTGAAAAATCCCACTTACCCTATACAGATCCATAATTTGTGAAGCTGTGTACTCCTGTGATTGATTCAAGGGCCTGAATTTAATTTCAGAAGGTGCTTTAGCTGTATAAGTAAATGGACCAGAGATGGTGTCCAAGTCATGGGTACCTATTGCTACTAATGCTCTTCTCCTAGAAAGAAAGAAGGCAAAATAATGATTTTACTAGCAATATTTGGAGTTCCTTTGAGATAGTATCTCATGATGCTCTATACTCCTATGCATTCATAGAACTTACTGAAAAAGTAGAAGGGCAATTTTGAGAAGCCTAGAAATTATTTCCATGAATAACATTTTAACAAATGTTAATGACACACCTAACAGTCAAAGGCAAATCCAACGGGACTGTTGCAAAATGCTTCTTTCTCAGCTGTTGTAGGAGCTGTAACAGCTATTTGTGTTGAAAAATATTGAGAGCAGGCAGAAACAGGCAAGGAAATGAGAAGGATCAAGAAAACCACTATAAAAGATTTTCCTTAGCATAAATATAAATATAACGTCTCTTTGCAATAGGGATGTGCAGTCTTAACATGTGATAAAATCACACACATAGACACTATACACTACTTTAAATTTAAGCACTAACCTGCAAATATTTTGGTGTAGTTTTTCTTGGAGGTCAATGAAACTATCATAACGTTCCTTGGTAAAAGTTATATTACGAAGGACTGCAGCTACAGCATGAGGACGGACTTGGACAGTCTGCAATTTACAACGGCAAGACATTATAAATTTCAAGTACATAGAATATACAAAACTAAAACTGATTAAATGTGCACTTTTCTTCATAAAATCCTCTTTTGTAAAGCAGTAATCAAAAGGAAAATTCATGGAAAGACATGAGAATCCCAGAGGGGAAAAAAACCCAAACAAACCCACTCTAGGTCTGGTAGAGACAAGGAGGTTTCCAGTATACTGTGTAATGGCCCAGACGGTCAATGCAATGTGAGCATCTGAAACTTTGACTTGACCTGTTACTAGGTTCACCAAAAATAATTTGTCTATTGTTCCTCCCCTTCCCTAAAAATAAATCACAATGAGCAGAAATATTTAAAGTTCTTCAGCTCTTGTTCTGCAAATAAGATTTCCAGTCTCACTGCTCTTATAAAATTGGCACTGATACCTATCTCGCTGGTTCAGAAACTCTGAACAAATTTACAAAGGTGCAGTAAACACTTTTACCTCTTCAGTGATAATCAGCTTCTGACCTTCACCCTGAGCTGGTATTATCTTTTCGTACCTAGGGAGATTTATCCTAGAATAAAACCAGAAATAAGTCAATAACTGAAAGAAAGTAAGTTCCCCAAATGCAGGAAACTTTAGAAATGTAGCAACAATTATATGTGGAAAACTTTCTTAGTAACATTTCTTGGCATGTAAATTAGCTAACTGTTTAAAACTTGTTTTTTATGGGATGGTAAACATTACTGAACTAGAAAGGAAGGACTCAAGAAGATAAAGTCACAGCAGAAGAGTGAAACAAATAATTTGTTTTGGTATTTATTACAGAGGATCACAAGGAAGTTCCTCTGCAGGATTTCTTTACAGAGCAGAAGTCTCAAATGGAACAGCAGTTGAAAAATTTTTAGAACAGATCCAAAACCCAGTAACGTTCTAGTCTAGTCTTTTTAAAATATATGATAGATTCTCTCCAGAGGAACAACTGACAAATCTGATCTACACATGAGATCGTACTCAAAATCCAAGCAAGTGGCAAGCTTGTCTATTGTATTTAAACAAATAACAAACGATACAAACATCTCACAACTCTGCATTACCTTTCTTTAAAGACCTGCAGCCCTCGGACCAACCCTTCAAGGCAAAGAAGATCATAACGGTTGGCAGGAACATCGATTTTATAGAGAACTGTATCAGATGCACCCTTTGCCTTTTCTTCACCTTTTTCTTTACTTATAATGTCTTTCTCAGATGTCTGAAATTAAGGAAAAATGTCTTTTTAACCTGAAATATCTTAACGTTGACAGGAGTATGATAGTGAGATAATAGGAAAAATTGTATTAAATAAAAGTTTAAAGGTGTAAATTGGATTTATTCAGCAAATACCAGAAATGACGTAAAATCTAAATCTTTCTCAGATTCAGAGATTGTAATGCAGTATACCAGAAGAAAAATTCACTATTAGAATTTGAATCTTAAAAAAAGAGATTATAGAAGCAAGAGTTTCCAGGCTAGCAGATCCCAGTAGAGAACTAAGACCGTATTTTTCACAACAGATCAGCAAAGGACTTGTCGTATCAAGTCTATTCTGAAATAAGGCGTAACATATGACGTTCAGATGTCTTCTGATAAACATCATTAAAAGATTAACTAATTCAAATTAAAAAGCAAAACCAAAACAGATCTACTTGAACAAGATTTACATGGATACAATTAACAGGGCCAGCAAATTTTCACAAGTACAGAATCTAAATCAAAACTTTAAATACAAATTAGTCACAACTTAGGTAACAATGTCCAGGACAAATACGTTTTTGTGGATATTGCACAGAAGAATGTATACAAAACAAAGCCAAACAGATCTCGTAAAATACGGTCAATACATGGTCTGTGGCCATATTTATGCTGCTATATAAAATGGGGCCAGAGACTGAAGACCAAGCGGCACACACTGCTGACCTCCACGAAGTATAGCAGTATGCCCTCTTGGGGTCTCTTGCTTCCAAGATGGTGATTTTTGTATGTCTGTTTTTCTTTTCAGGTTCAAAACACCTGTGTTAATACAGTCTATTACAACAGTATTTTATAACAAGAAGCTAAAGGTATGTGTTACATATTCTGCCCTGTGGTGTGGAGATGTTTGAGGATGTTTCAGGATGAAAAGCCTGCTGCAGTACTGCTGAAAGACTGTATAGGTCAAGGGGACCTTCCAGTCTTGTCCACACTGCTTTTTGAGGATAGCTGGGGCATGGTATCCTCCAAACCTTGCCTAGACATTTTCTTGGTACATGCTAGAGGGCATCGGCCCACACTGTACCAGACAATATGCTGGACATAATCCAGTACAAACTCTTACCAAATATAAATGCTGTTTGTACACTACATCTACTGAAAAAGTAACAAATAAAAACATTACTTACAATTTCATCAAGCTCCAAACCAAACTCAAAGCAAAGCTCATTAAATTCTTCATCAGCTTTGAAGAAAGAAGGTGAATTTTGATTAATAAACAGACCTCAGACTTTTAAAGTAATTTTTTTGGTGTTTGTTTTGAATGTTTTCAAACAAGATAACAAATGCTATTTTGAAAAAAAAGGTGAAAGTAATTTAAAGAATTTTGCTTATATTTGCATCTGAGTAGCAGTTTCTTTAGTACATATTGCATTTATTGACATGTTATTCTTACAGTCACAGTGAGGGCTTCTGAGCCTCGGAGCCCAGCTTCACTGCCAGCTCCTCAGCCATGCTTGTCAGAGTAACTCTGGCCTGAACAGATAATGCAAACAGGAGGGAGTAATTGGACAGCCTCTTCCAACAGCTACTTTTTTAATCAGTCAGCTTGTCATACAGAGGTTGCATCAACTGTGTTATGACGTGTGAGTAATATAACCCTGATCTGAAAACGGAGATTTGCACCCATGTGTATTAAGAGCCTACCAACTCCAGTGTGGGCTAGATAAACTGCTGCATGTCCTTAAACGCTCTTTCAGTGAAACAAACAGTTCTTAAGTCACATTTCTAAAGAGCCGGGGAAGAAGGACTGAATGAAAACACGGTATTAATTGTTTGCTTTGCCTGCTCCCACCTCTGCCCTCTCCTTTTTGATTTAATCAGTTCCTGAAACAGACAGTGAAACTCCAACCAGAAACCGCGATTTGGAAATGCATGGTTCTGATCTCCTGAGGGATCTGGAGTCAAACAGCGTGTATCTGGGCAAGAGGCCGAAGGGTCCGGGGAGAGCACATGGCTTCGTCTGGCATGCCGTGGCCTTGTGAAGAGCGGACGGCCGGGCAGCGCCCCTGCTACAGCCACCACTGGCGGTCTGACGCCCGGGCTTCCCCCGAGGCTCAGTTCAGCCCCGTGGACGCGGGGGAAGCGACGAGCGAAGGGGTGCTGTCGCTGGGCGGCCGGGCTGCCCCGGCTCCGGCGCCCGTCAGGGGTTTGCCCGGGCCGGGGCGGGCAGCCGGCGGAAGGCGTCGCGGCCGATCGCAGCCCAGCAGCCGCGGGGACCGGAGGCAGGCCGCCGG